GGGGGGGGGGGGAGTGGTTGGTCAAATTGGGGGCAGGTGGGGTGTGTTTGCGAGAGGGGGGGTTGCTTGGTAAAAAGTGTGGAGAGCGAGAGGTCGATGTCCAAACTAAGTCAATGATCCGACCGGCGAGAAATGGAAAAGTGGCACGCAGATCGTGCCACTTTCGTTGTTAAGACGAAGAAAAGTGAACTCATCACGTTCTTCACACTCTTTATTGGGCGTGATTCTTACCAAAAACGTTGCAATCCCGTAACCAGCGCAGGCACGTGCGCGTGGGAGACGTCAGCATCAATACACGTCAAACCCCGCGAGTGACCGAAAGCCGTCCTGTCGCTAACAACATGAAACAACTCATACTCTGTACCTTGATAGGGGGAGGCGTCTCCTCATCGTCGTCGCTGTCGCCGTCCTCGTCCGAAGCTGCCTGGGCCTTGCCGTTGACCCGAATAGACTCTCGGAGAGCGGCCGCCGCCTCGCGGTTGTCCATCAGCTACAGCAGGCGGTGTGCACACGATACGTACGGACGTTACGCGCCACATGATGTTGTTCGCGATGGGAAAATCAAACAGCAAGGTGTGTGGTCACCAACGAGAATTTGTACGAGCAGGAGACCGCATCAAGATTTCGCACGCAGGGCAGGGACCACGAACAAGATTGTTTTTGGACCGAACGATTTCCTTTGGCTTGAATGACGCAGGGACAAGAACGCGGCTTCACTTGGATTTTGTGCCAAATCACGAGGCAGGTGATACACATGTATCCACCTCCCATCCCACATCCAAAATTTCGTTTCGGGGATATTACCCGTATTGTAGAAAGACCGTATAAGGCCAATTCCTGCCTGAGCGGTAGGGTAACAAACACAGACAACCAACGAGTTGCTTGTGTCGAGGCTCCGGGACTAACACCCCCTACTAGTAAAGAGCAGGTTTAATCGATTCAAACGTTGTATTAGAACGTAGTGTGGATAAGTTTGATCGCATGCCTCAAGGCTGCCGGTGCATGTGTACGCAGTAGTGTCTCGTACCTCATTCCCGAACGCTTCAATCTCTCACTGTCACGAACCTCGGCGCAAAAGCCAAACCAAGCGTCACACCCACCCATGAAACCGACGGCAGCAACAATAACGCTACGACCCTTACACGTCGTGCTTCGGCGAAGGGGCCAGGCCATAGCTCCTTCGGAGCATCATCACCCTCTCCGGCTGCAGCAGCATCAGCAGCAGCGCCCCGCCGCCGTCCGCTCCCACCGCTGCCGCTACTGGCACCTCTCGCTGCCGCCCCTGCTCTGGCAGTGCCAGGGGCAGGTGGTTTTTCGGGACGGGCGAAGTGTGCTCCACGGGCACGAGCTACCTGAGACACCACAGTAGCGGGAAAGAAGCGCAGGGTAACGATGAGGCATTGTCGGCGGCGCAGCGACACTATGTTTGTGGGGCATCGTTCCCCTCAACGCTGCTGTGGGTGAAGGAAAAAACAAATTCGGCCGCCTGACCACCCCCATCCCCTGAACTATACCCTCAAGAGGGATGGACACATCTTGCAGCTGGCTGTCATTACACATGATATGCATAGTGGAGGTAAATGGAGGCAAGAGTAAAACAGTGTGAATTAATGGTGGCGGCGGTATGAGTGTCGACGACTTCGCCACAGACCTGGGCAAACGCCTCCCTTCTGGAGTTCACCGCCGGCACGCCGTCAGCCGCTGTGTTACCCCCCGTTTCCGCCCGCGCATTTTCTTCTTCTTCCTCCTCCTCGTGCTCCTCCTCCTCCGCCACTCCGGCCACATCCGAAGAATCCACGACGGGTGTTGCACCGGTGCCGGAGGCGGCGGTGCTCCCGCTGACGGTTTCGTCTGCTGCTGCTGTGCGACGCTGAACCCCGTTGCTGCTGCTAGCGACCGCCGTGCCTTCTGGAGGAGACGAGGGCGGATTTTCCAGTGGAACGGACGAGTGGCCGGCGGAAGATGGGGAGTCCCTCGGGCCCTGCTTCCTTGACTGCATTGGTAAGGCCATGAAAGATGGGGAGAACGAGCAGAGACTTACAAGGGGCGAGCAGAGGCATGCTTACTACTGTACTGCGTCGACGGAAAGGGCATTGGATCGGACGGCATGTGAGGATCTGCTCATCTCCCGTGTGGTTTGATTACCTCAACAACCATGGATTAAGAGGAAAATTGGAGGATCTCAACGGCCAAAACAACGAGGTTCCCAGTCCATACTAGGGCCATTTTTGAGCCGCAGTGACACGAAGCAGACCAGGTGTAACTGAAGTATCTAGCACATCGACGTAGCTGGGGGCGTAGTGACGCCGGGCTCTTCGAAGGCAGTATCGAATTCAGGCGGGTCTACGCTCGTGCACAAAAAAACAAAGGACCGAAAGGTACAGCAAATATGGACGATCCCGCAGAAATACGTACAGCCAGCTGCGTACAAGAACCAAAATGCAAATTGGCGGTCTGCTGGCGCCCTTTTCGCGCGCAGTTTGGTCATGCTTCGAAGCAGTTTATTTCTGCGGCCGAAGCTCGCAATGCCTGTCGCTGTAGATTCGCGTACTCTCGATCCCCAAATCTTGTTCAGCGCCCAAACGCTTATCGCAGCACGATATCGTTCGAAATTGTTTTCTTGATGTCACCGAGATATATGTAAGGCCTCGTTGAGAAAACATGCGAAGGGGATCATGTAGACTATTCTTGAGACCGATGCCGAACAAGCGATGTCGCGAAGGATAACTGACGACATGCATTGGTTTTCCCGTAGAGCTCCCCACTTACTGTCAACACAGTTCTACATCAAGGGACAATGTCGTTGAATGCAACCAAAGATAGTCATGCACACACACGCGGCGGTGGTTCAAAGTCGAGAGGCACAGCGCGGGGTTTACTGGTACAAACCAGCGCTGTACACAAACTTACAGACAGGCTCGTTTTGAAAGCCCAGCAGCGGCGCCAGCTTCAGGTACCTCCACTTCGCGCTGAAGCTCGCTCGCATCGCCAACACAGGCCTAAGACGCACATCATCATGATCATGGTGTCTTGCATACCTTTGGTGCCTTGGTGCTGGCCTCTCGACCGGCCCTCCTGCTTCGCGGGCCGCCGGCAGCGGGGACAGAAGAGACACTGCCGTCGCTCCCATTCAAACCACGCGGGCTTCTTCTGCGGGGGGTAGCAGCAGCTGGCGACGAACCTTCATCGCCGTCGGTGCGTCCCTTGCCCATGGAGGTCCGCGACGAACGAGGCATGTTGAGTTGGGTCACAGCTTTTTTTGTACACTCGGGAGAAGGTTTTTGCAGAGCAGGGAAAGAGAGGTGGGTGCCTGTGGGTGATGTTGCCACATGGCCGCAGAGTTGCGATGGCCGCGGCGGAACTGGGCGAGACTGTGATGAAACAGTTATGCCTTCCCATCTGTTGTGCCCCGCGCGTTGGATGACACGGGACGAACAGACCGTGGAACAGACACCGCAGCCAAGCAGGCACAACACAACAAGACAACAAGAGACATACAAGGTCTGGAGAGCGCCACAGACGGCGAGAATCTGGTGAGATATACGGCCTTGATCAGAGGTGAAGCTGCTAACCGAAGGATAGGTTGTGGGAGAGGATAAGGTGTGTCCTAAAAAAATGTTGCCTTGTACAGATAAATTTAGCGCCCGCACTTCGGAACTAAGCAGTCAAGAAATCGAGACTCGAAAAAATCAGAAGCTAAGAACTTGCCCACCATTCTAGGTACGTTAGCCTGTGACCACGGAAATTGGCCGAGTCAAGTGATGGATTAGTACGGAGAGAGTGAGACAGAAGGAGGTACTGGATAGAGAGACCGGGATGGTTTTTAATGTGAAGACAACAACAACAACAACAACCATTTGTGAGCCCGGTTAAGAACCCCTGCACTAATGCTATACTTATATTGGCGATTTGTAGCCCACAAGAGGATGATCAGCAATATAAGAATCCCAGACTCGGCCGAAACTAGAGGTTCTTAAGTGCGGGCGCCATCTTTATGTTTAAGTATGCATTGTAGCGTGGTGAGAGCAGCTGCTGGTGCTGTGTTTCTGAATCTACACATGGAACGAAGACAGGACGCCGCGATTGTTCGTACCAAGTACTCAGCAGTAGCATCCCGTAAAAGAATCGGGTGAACAAAAAGAGCTTTGACGCTGGCTCTTTCCCCAAACTTCCATCCTTCACGAAGAAAGAAAACAACTTTCCCGCCAGGTTTAGACTAGGCATTCTATTGTCATCAGTAGAGGACACCATGAAGAGGCGTCGTGCGTGCTGGCAGGTTCAGGTTTGCTACTGGAGCAGAAATATCGAAGGTCGCAGCAGCCGCTGAAAACATTCCGAAATCACCGAAACCAAGCGGCATCCAACATATTTGGCACAGCCGTGCTCACCGTCACGGACCGTGAACCCCTGAATGGAGGGGTGTAAGCAATATCTACTTGGAGAATAGTGGCATCAGCCACTGCTGCAATTCAGGAGATTGGGGTAGGTGGCGGCGAGCACGGCTGTGACAAATGTTGGATGCCGTTTGGTTCCGGCGCAGATTTCGGACTGTTTTCAAGGACTCCTGCGACCGTCGATATTTCAGCTCCAGAAGCAAACCTGAACTTGCCAGCAAGCACGACGCTGTCGAGGAAAACTGTTACAACGTAGTCAGGCACAGTTTACCATAGGTGCGACTGCGGCAACTAGCAGCCTTCCGTAGACATAATACAGAAAGAAGAGATGGTACTCAGCAGAGAACATGAGCACAGAGTTGTAGCGGAGACTTGTTGGCAGGCGAGACTGTAGTTGTTTTATTGTTCCGAACCCCGAAATTACTCCGGAGACCCTCGGAACCTGCTGTGTTTTTGCTGCTTGTTTTTTGTTTTTGTTTTGTTGTTGAGATGAGACACAAGCGCGCCTTCGCCCCTTGTGCTCACTCTCATCTAGCACCCATCAAAGCCTGACCAGGGAGTCAGTTGATAAGAAAATCTATCTACATTTCTCTTTCCAGAGCTCGCTCGGGCCTACCGATCTCACAGCAGTGTAGACCAACCTCTGTGATAGAGCGGTGACAGCAGTGTAACCTCTGTGGTAGACTACAAAGTCTACGAGCTACAGCAGCACCGCCACCTCCGCTGCTGCAGGACGCCACATTCTGTGAGGTTATGAGCCTCGCTTTACGCGAACACTAGGAGCTGCGGACGTCACGACGGAGGTCAAGACATCCTACTGCTGTGGACTACAACATCCGTCTGTGGACTTCGAGCGGAAATCTGGATTCGGAGATTTGGGAGATCATCAACGGTCAGCGGAAACGAAAGTGAGCGCACTACTTGGTCATCTACACCAAGGGGCTGAGAGTTCATTATACACACACGTTATCACTGCTGCAACAGCAGTAGTGGGTACCTCTGTGGTGAACAAACAGCAAAGTGTTGCGCGGGAAGCCTCGATTTAGACATTGAGCAAATACTTCTGCGGCGGAGACAGGAGGGAAGACTGTATCAACAGCGAAAGTCGACCGGGAACCGTAGTCCTATTCACCGATTCCCTAAGTGAGGAAAGGGTATCAGGAGCGGGGTCGCAAATTGGCCTACAACCGGAGTTCTATTCACCAATTCTCTATCTAGGTGAGAAAAGGGTTTCAGAAGCGGGGTCACGAATCGGCAACCGGAGTCCTCTATATCAATAGAAGGAGCGGGGCTGGAAAAAATCTCAGCGACAGATAGCCGAGTAATACACCAACAAAAATATTCAAGACGAGATCATCAGGATAAAACCAGAAATGGAAGCAAAATCGGAAACTGGAGGCGGAGGCAGCATCTGGAGTGATGGATCCACAAACCTGGCCAACGTCATCAGAGGACTCCCCAAGTTCGATGGAACGAAACCAGAGGACTTCAACGACTGGATGAAGAAATTGGGTGTAGTCGTCGGCGTTACTCGGAGGGACATCATGCCACTTCTCAAGGGAATGCGCAGGCCTGATCCCTCGGACACCACCTTCGCCGCATACGAGAGAGCAAACGAAGACCTCTACGCAATCCTATTCTGCCTCGTCGAACTGCCGGCTGCACTAACCGTACACAAGCACGAAGACGACACCGGCCTTAGCGGCGACGGGCAGGCAGCATTCGCGGAACTGAAGGCCAACTACAATCGAGTGACAGATGAAGTGATCAGGGCTAAACTGGACGACCTGGAAAGGACGGTCATGGAGCCAGGAGAGAACCCGGACGATTTTTTCAACAAGAAACACCGCCTCCGCTCTCAACTAGAGAAAATGGGGGAAACCATCTCCGATCGCCGCTTCAAGGACATCTGTGTGCAAGGTTTCTCCGAGGACTACAAGGACATCAAGATGATGGTTTTCCGCGACCCATCATTCGACGTACAACAGATGCAAGCCACCATGCGCAACATCTTCCTTGACGAGCAAATGCGCAAGAGAACCAAGGGCCAAATCGCTGGCCGCGGATTCGCCATGGCTACCAAGACATCTGGCCCCATCTGCTTCGAGTGCAACGAACCGGGACATGTCAGGAGGAACTGTCCCAATCGCCAGCGGGAGGGCCATAGGGCAAAGAAGACGAAGCCTGCGGGAGCAACCAAGTGGTGCTCCGTCCATAACACCACTACACACTCCGACGAAGAGTGTTACAACCAAGGAGCCAAGCGACCAGAACGCACGGGCAAGGCCTTTTCTGCATGCACACACTGCGTGCACTGCTCAACCCAGTCAAGAGACATACAAGCCAAGCCTACCACAACAGAAATTCCCAAAGAAACAGAGAAGACCGAGAAGGCAGAGATCGACTTCTCTTACGACGAAGATGCATTCAAGGGTGGATTCATGTACCATGCTACATGCAGCAAGGGAAGCGGACGCACTTTCACGACAACTGCAACTGGGACTTCCGCGCTGGTGGATTCTGGAGCTTCTGAGACCATGTTCGACAACCGCCTCATCCCGAATGGACGTCTCGAAGAAGAACGCCCGACGCCCAAGATCATCGACGTTGCAGGAGAAAGCCAACTACGAGGCACTACCACTGGGATCCTACACTGCACCATCAAAGACGACAAAGAACAGCAACTACCCGTCAAACTACAAGGTCTCATCGTGCCAGGACTAGGCCGGAACATCTTCGCACCAACGGCCCTTCTCAAGAAGGGCCTCCGATGTGTCCTGGAAGACAAGACCCCACACCTCACCATCGGCGGAGAAGTCGTCGTTCCTCTGAAACAAGAGACTCAAGACCAAGGCATGTGCACCCTCGCCATCACATTCAAGGGCGATCCAGCGTCGACAAGCAAGACACCCCCGAACAACCAAGAACCAGGGCGGAAGCCGAAGTTCGGAAAACCAGAAGCGGTACAGATCGATCACACTCCGCACGCGACATGCTCAGTGGCGATGAGCGTGAGCGCCGACCTCTGGCACCGGCGCCTCGGCCACATCAATCCACGTGCTATGGAGATTTTGCGGCGCAACCCCGCCACAGGTGTGAAATATGACGGACCTGTATCCCCGTGCGACAACTGCCAAATCACGAAGCACAAGAAGGCTCCCGTCCCGAAGAAGACCAGCCGTGTCCTGACCAAACCAGGCCAACTCGTCCAGTTCGACAACATGGGACCAATCGACCCGCCTGCGAAGTACAACGGACGCACCTACTCCTATGTCGCCAAAGCGACCGACGTCTTCACCAGAATGCGGGAAGTGTACCTACTGCGCGACAGGACCGAAACCACGCAAGCTCTGCACGCCTACAACATGCAAGTAGCATCTGAAGGCTACCGCATCGAGGTTCTACGCTGTGACAAAGGGGGAGAGAACACTGGGGAAGAAATGCGCAACTACTGTAGGGAGTCTGCGATCAAGCTGGAATTCGCCGCGACCAACACGCCCCAAGAAATCGGAGTGTCAGAAAGGGATGGCCAGACACTTGCGGCTGTGACTCGAGCTCTACTGCGCGATGGAGACTTCCCAAAACACATGTGGGGGGAGCTCATGATGACTGCAGCATACCTGACCAACAGGACCCCACACGCGGCGCTAGGGGGAGCCACGCCGTATTCCAAGATGTACAACACAACCCCGGACCTTTCTCGACTTCGTGCCATCGGCGCCCGCGCGTTCGTTCATCACGAGCGATACAAGAAGAAGCTAGACGACCGGACCTTTGAAGGCAAGCTCTGCGGTTACGGACCTGGCAGCAAGACGTACCGGATCTACGTGGAGGGCAAAGACAAGGTCTACGAGAGCCGGAACGTGACTTTCATCGAGACTCCACCCAACACCATCCCCCCTCACCGGTGGGACGACCGTCTCGGATATGAACAGGACGTGATGAACTTCACGTCATTGCTCGGACGCCGTACCTCTACGGGCGACGAAGACAACAAAGTGGACTACGGAACACAATCAGAGCTCCTGCTGCACGAGATGCGCAACATGCAGCAAGACAACATCAGCCGAGCAGAACTTCGCCAAAACAACGCGGGCATGGATTCCGACAACTACTTTGCTGCTGGGGGAGCTGACAGCAACAACAACCCGCGGACTACGACACCATCCAGGACATCGCAGGACACGACACTCGAATCACCCACGACGCCAACAGACACGGACTCCCCTTCGCCAGCCCCGATCCCAATGCGTCGATTAACGGTGACCCGTCCTGCCACGCGCACTCACCAACCCACAGATGACCCTATCGACCCTTCATGCATCCCGAAATCTCTGGAAGTGAACATGAACGACAGGGGCCGCTCTGCCATGGCTGTCAGCCACCCCGACCCACTGGAGCTCACCGAGGATCAACTACTCGATCTCACCCACCAAGCGCAGCAACGATGCCCTACTGACGCGGCGGATTTTGCTCACCTGGATGAAGACCCCTTCGCCGAAGTCCGGGCGTATGCTTACGCCACGGGCACCTCGAGCAAAGGGTTCTTGGGGGAGACACACCAAGAGATCAAAACTCCGAGCACGTACACCGAAGCCATGAACTCACCACAACGCGAGCAGTGGAAGAGCGCTATCGACACCGAGATGGGTAATCTCGCCAAGCACAAAGTCTTTAAGAAAGTACGCATCAGCCTGGTACCGAAGGATGAGGACATCTTCGACACACGCTTCGTGTTCAAGATCAAGGCCGACAGCCGCTTCAAGGCCCGCTTAGTCGCGGGGGGACACCGCCAACGAGCAGGACGACACTTCGGAAGGAACTACGCTCCAGTAACCCGATTGGGTAGCATCCGCATGCTATTCGCCATCGCTTGCGAACACGGATGGGAGGTGTACCAATTGGACGTGGTAGCTGCATTCCTGAACGCGTACACCGACAGAGACGTCTACGTCAGGCCGGCGCCAGGCGACGAGGAGAGGGACCCTACGACAGGTGAAATGATGGTCTACAAACTGGAGAAAAGTCTGTACGGCCTGTCACAGTCCCCGTCACTGTGGAACGACGCCATCAATGACAGACTCATCATCTTCGGCTGGCAGCGCACTCGCTCTGACCCCTGTGTCTACATCTTCGTAAGCGGGGACGAACTCACAATCCTCGCGATCTACGTCGATGACATCCTCATCACGGGCGGAAACAAGGAGATCGTAAGCAGCAAAAAGAAGGAACTCATGGACAGCTTCGAAATGACAGACATGGGAGAGGTCAAGCGCGTAATCGGCATCGAAGTGCAGCGGGACTACGAACATGGCACACTAGCCATATCGCAAGGACCCTACGCGAGAGATATCCTACAGCGATACGGAATGGAACAGGCAAACCCGGTCAGCACCCCCGGGTATGGAGCAGAACTATCAACCGAGCAGCCACAAGACCAACTACTCGGACCCGAGGACAAGCAGAGATTCCAGGCCATCACCGGGAGTCTCCTGTACCTTGCCCAATGCACCCGCTACGATCTGTCATACGCAGTGCACCAACTGACACGGGCATGCGCAAACCCAGCACAGGTCCACATGGCTGCGGCCAAGCACCTACTACGGTACCTACGCGGAACGCCGGACCTGCCGATCGTGTACAAGAAGGGGCAGTTCAGACTCTCGTGCTTCACTGACTCGTCATTTGGAGCCAACCCAGACAACGGCAGGTCTACCACCGGATACCTGTTCTTCCTAGGAGGGGGACTGATCAGCTACGGAGCCAAGGCACAGACTCTCGCAGCACAGAACACCGTGGAGGCCGAACTTCAAGCGCTGAGCTTCAGTGCTCGCGAGGCAGTCTACATCTCCAACTTCATGACGGAAATCGGATTCAAGACCTTTCGATCGGTACCCATCAACAGCGACAGCACCGGAGCATTGACTGTGGCCAGCAACGCGATGTTCAGCTCTAGAACCAAGCACATCGCGCTCCGGTTCTTCTTCCTCAGGAACTCACGAAGGGGCACCGGATCACTCTTCACCACCAACCTAGTGCCACGATGTTGGCGGACATCGCGACGAAACATCTCCCGAAGCAGCGATTCGCCACCACCATGCAACTCATCAAGGACTACAAGCGCTAGAAGATATTAAGCACAAGATCGCATAGTATGGTTGAATGTTTTGGACGCGTGTATTGCTCACAGGATGGATTAACTTATGTGGAGGTCGATATTCTTTGATGTGGATTGGGAATCGAGGGGTCGCAAAAATGGCAGCGAAGTGAAGTTTTGGAACATCGGCTACTTGCCTCATCGAGGGGTCGTGTCGAGGAAAACTGTTACAACGTAGTCAGGCACAGTTTACCATAGGTGCGACTGCGGCAACTAGCAGCCTTCCGTAGACATAATACAGAAAGAAGAGATGGTACTCAGCAGAGAACATGAGCACAGAGTTGTAGCGGAGATATGTTGGCAGGCGAGACTGTAGTTGTTTTATTGTTCCGAACCCCGAAATTCCGGTACTCGGGCCATTACTCCGGAGACCCTCGGAACCTGCTGTGTTTTTGCTGCTTGTTTTTTGTTTTTGTTTTGTTGTTGAGATGAGACACAAGCGCGCCTTCGCCCCTTGTGCTCACTCTCATCTAGCACCCATCAAAGCCTGACCAGGGAGTCAGTTGATAAGAACATCTATCTGCATTTCTCTTTCCAAAGCTCGCTCGGGCCTACCGATTTCACAGCAGTGTAGACCAACCTCTGTGATAGAGCGGTGACAGCAGTGTAACCTCTGTGGTAGACTACAAAGCCTACGAGCTACAGCGGCACCGCCACCTCCGCTGCTGCAAGACGCCACATTCTGTGAGACGCCTCTTCATTATGTCCTCTATTTACTGATGACTGAAGAATGCGCCACGTAACCCCCAAAACTGACCTTGTTTGAGCGCCTTCCGTTTTTGCTTTTGTGACTTGACTGTAGAGGAGAGTGATTTTTTTTCTTGATTTCAAAGGAGGCGTGAGGAGGTCGACGCGTGAAATGGTATATATATTGGTATGTTGAGCACCGCCCTGTGCGATAATCAACGATCGTTTGTTTTTCGCCATGCCTTCCGACTGGTCTTGTGCGCCTGTTGTGCAATTTCAGGTGCTCTTGCGTTTGTCTTCAGAATTAGTCAACATCAAACTATTCTTCACCCCCTTCAAGCACGCACGCACCTCACGGGATTCGAAATAATGGTCTTGGACCCTTTTGGGTTTACAGGCGTACTGACAGATCATTGATTGATTATTTGCAAATGCTGGTGTGGTGGCATGGCATGGAGTTGCCGCCCTGTATCCCTCCACCCCAGGTGTTGGCAAGTCCATAGGTAAGTCGTGTAATTTTATATACTATCGACCGCGTTAACCGGGTACCAATGAAAAGACGTTAGTGCCAGTGGGTAAAATCAGGTCCCTGGAACGGTACCAACATTCGAACATGCACAACAATGCGCGAAGCGCGAATGGCACGATGCATCTCTCCAAATATCCTTTCACAGAGACACCATCAATAGCTCCGCTACATTCATTCATGCGAATCTCGGAAGCCACAAGAAAGAAGCGGAGGGAAGCATCAATGGGCATTTCAAGCCCGACCAGGCCAGGATATGGTGGGATATTCTGCGTATTTTCTCCAAATTTGAAAATGGTACACTCCCCAAGATCCAGCAGTCATCGTGTCAGCAGCTATTCTACACAGCAGCACCAGTAAAATGAGTCCACTGCAACACATACACTTATCATCTAGCCCCACACATACCCTCGCCCGAACCTAGGGAGTCACTGATGCAAAGGTAGGTGTGTGCTGGTGCTTGTGTGCTTGTGGGAATGGTGGGAAACTGCAGGAGCTAAAATCAACCGGCAGGGCGAACATTGGGGGGGGGGCGTACTCTTATGTTTTGCATGTCTTAGCGGTTAGACCATTGACCACGCGTCCTCGAGAGGACGGAGCATTGTTCCCACAGGACCGATCACCGATGGCCAATCGTTCCTTTCT